TGAGTTTATCAAGGTTGAGAACCACTGAGGTAGTCTGCTACAGCAGCCTGACAGTGGAGTAAATTGTCAGAGCTCCCTCCAACAGGCACTATAGATCCCACAACTCCCAAACGAGAGGAAAGAACCTGTCCCTTGTCCCATTCTTCCTCTACAAAAAGCTGATACTAAAGAGCTACTAGGGGAGATCAAGCACCTGCAACTGCTTTTCCATCTGGATGAGAAAAGAAGACCAAAGACAGCAGAGTGGTAGGAGAGAAGGATGAGGCTGTACTCCATTGGCAGGCCAGGGAAGAAAAAAGAAAAAAAAGGTTAAGAAAAAGTAGTACCCAGGCCAAGTTCCCTGTCTGGGCTTGGGCCAAGTTTCCACCACAGAAAATAGCCCTAGAGATACTTTAACGGGCCAAAATAGGAGACCTGGAAACATTTATTTATTTTTAAATCAGGGTTCCTTTAGTGCTACGAAGTCTTAAATAAGATCGTTATGGGGCACAAGATAGAGGTTGGCTCCCTTGTAAAGGGGTGAATTTAGAACATGGCTGTAGACAGCATATAATTCTTCCTCTTTAAAGCCAGTATTGATCTGCAGAACTAAGTTTGGTGGCATTGGATTAGACCTTTCCTTTAAAGGGCAGAATGTCTCTCTACACAACTAATTTACACTGTGAGTTTATAGATGCACAAATAGATTTTTTTAAAACTAAGCTATTTTAGATTGTGGCAGGGGGAGGGGAGGGAGAAATGTCTTAACCTGTTTGTCTCTGTTGGTTAGAATTGCAACTCAGACTTGGAGCTGCAGGGTTTCAAAATAAACCAGTGCAAAGGGCGCACCTTTGGATTGCATGATGCTGAACTCTTGTGGGCTGGTCTTGTACGAGGCTGGCCCCTAACAAGCAGGAATCTGGAGAGATGAGCTGATCATAAATAATTAAAAACTCCTTGTAATAAAATGCTAAAAACATGCTCAGACAAGGATGATGGCGTTCTCATATCATCTAAACTAGAAATATCACAAAGTGCAAAAGGAGAGACGCAGTAAGAGGCTGAACAGAACACTTGGGCTAAATACAGACAGTCAAAAAGCCCGAGGCTGAATCAATTCAGTCTTTGTAGATTAGTCTAAAATGCAGAGATTAAATTAAGAAACAACTGGAGAGACATTCACTTTTGATTCAGGGAATGCAGCCACATACCCACAGGGGTTCAGGCCAGAAGCCAGGTGGTGCTAGAGCATGGCTCTCTGGCATGTAGCCAGCATGGGCTGTGCATTTGCTTCCTCTTCCTGCTGCCCCTGAGGTCTCTAGGATTTGCAGTTCAGAATCATAGCAGCAGGACTCTGAAGGGTTGCTCATCACTTCTTCTTCCTGCTTCCAGTTGCCTCTGGGATTTGTAGTCCACAGTCACAGCCAGCAGTAAGTTTAGCAGGACTGGGCAGCTTTGTACTTGGGGGAAGAGGGGTTTAACCCTCTCCCTGGCCCCAGGTTTGGTTTCTGTCTCTAAACCAATAAAGGTGGATATCAGGGAAGATAATGGATAGGGCATAAAACACTCTAGATCTATGTGCTTCAATGCTCTCCCTCTAGCCTCCACTTCTGCCACTGTTGGAGACAGGATGCTGCGTGAGATGGACCTATGGTCTGACCCAGTATGATAATTCTTTAACTTAGCAATTATACCAATTATAAACACTCTTTCTGGGAAAGTCCAAGAAACGAGCAGGCCTTTAAAAAAGGTTTGTAAGAAGGAAACCACACAAAAAACCTCTGCTCCTATGAGCTCATGTCCTAAGAGCAGGCACAAAATGAATCCCTTCCATTTTGTAGTCTATTCCACATAGAAAATTAAAGCCAGGTTTAGATCTGAAGCTTTTGGAAATCAAAATTTGGATTTATACTACACAAGTGAACACCCAGGAAGAGCACAGACCAACTGCAGATGCTTCCTTAGCCTGATGAAGGGTGTTTGTACCTGAAATCTTGCAAAGAAGAATTTTTCCAACTATTTGAGTTGGTCTAATAAAAGATATCAGATTTACCCAAAGAATCTTGTCTGCCTATGTCCTTAGATCAGTGGTCCCCAGCGTCCCCTTAGACCAGTGGTAGATTGGGGAGCCTCTTTTAGTTGATCCTAGGCTGGGGGCAGGGTGCTGGGCATGCATGCGTATGTGTGCACTCCACCTCCTGCAGCTCAGCAGTTTAATTTGGAGGAGGGAAGGGGCAGGGGCCAGATACAGGCCCCCGTGGTGAAGGAGGGACAGTGCATTCCAGCCAGGAGCAGGGAAGGTAAATGGGTCCCAGCCCGGCTGGGTGGTGAGAGGATTGGAGCTCAGGGGGTCATCCAGGGGTGGAAGGGGTTACTGCCGCTGGGTATACCCCCATCTCTGCACAGGGCAGAGGTGGCAGAGGTGGCTGCTGTTGCATCTTAATCTCCACTGCAACTGGTCATGTGTGGATGCAACTCAGCCCAGCGGTGGGATGCACGTGACATGCAGCTGCTCCCAGGCCAGCTGCAGTGGGGCTCGGGGTGCAAAGCCCAGCCCAGAATCACAGCTGCCTCCACCGTGCACAGATCAGGGGAGCACATGCCTCCCTAAATGCAGGGCAGTGCAGGCATCTGCAGCAGCGGTGAGGGAGGGAGTGGGGCTGGAGTAGGGGCAGCTCATTTGGGAGGCATGGGGAGGGGAGTACATGTACCTTGGGAGGGCATGGGGGGGTGCATGCCCCCAGATCTGCATGCGGGGTGGGACAGGGCAGGCTGCAGCTGCGGGCTGTGGCTGTGCTCTTCCTGGCTGGGGGCCGGCCTGCTGCAAAGGGCCCAGCTCGTGGTGGTGGCACTGAGAGCAGGGCTATGGGGGGGGGGGGCTGCAGCCACCCAAAATTCACTGCAGACCCCCAACCCCCTCTCCCAGTACCACCACCACCCACCCCGAGCACAGCGCAGTCCAGCCTCCATTGGGAACAGCCTGAGGCAGCCTCCCAGCCCCAGCCCACAGCAGCAGGTGCCCGGCTCCATGCAGATCCTGAGCACACGGCCCCCATGCCCTTGCGGGGGGAGAGGGCAGGCTGCACCGGGCTGTTCCCAGCAAAGGCTGGGCTGCACTACGCTCGGGGTGGGCAACGGTGGTGCTGGAAGTTGGGGTTGGGGAGGCTACAGGAAATTTTCAGGTGGCTGCAGCCCCGCTAGTATCTTCGCTCCCAGCACCACCACCGCTGCCATGGGCTGGGCTCTTCCTAGCAGGCTAGCCCCTACACTGGGAAGAGCCCGGCCCCAGCCCACAGCTGCAGCCCAACCCATGTGCCCCCCATGCCCTCCTGGGGTGTGTGCTCCCTGCCAGAACCATCCCTAGGGGTGTGCAGGGCCCAGGGCATATCAGCCTGTGTGGGGCCTGGGGAGGGGTGCATAGGCAAAGGAAGAAAAAATAAAATTGGTGGGGCTGAATGTGTGCGGGCACATCAGCCCCCGAAACCAGGGAAAAGTCTGTGGGGGGAGGGGAAAGGGCCACGGTGGGGGATCGGCATTGCGTGGTACTGTGCTGCGCCAGCCCTGGCTGCCTCCAGGCCCCAGCTGCACAAATCCCAGCTCTGGCCCCGGCTCTGGCCGGCTCCTGGCCCTGGTTGGCTCCCCTCCCTGGTCCTAGCTGTGCACCGCCTGGGGGGGCCCAGAGCCAGGGGCTGGAGTGGGGCCAGCCTTGGCTGCCCAGTCAGGCCAGAGGGCTCCTTGCCTCCGTGCCTCCTTGCTGCCGGCTGCTTCGAAAGTGGTGGGTGCCATCATGTATGTCCAGCCGCTGGGCGGGCCGGGCAGTGAGGCACATGGCGCTGCGCCACCCAGTCACGGTGAATGGGGCCCCAGCCGGGCTGGGTCGTGGGACAATCCCCATTGTGCAGCAGGGAGGGGGCAAGGGCATGGGTGAATGATTCCCCTTCCCCTACCCCACTCTCCCCTGCACTGTGGGGGTCTCGATCTGCCTCCCCCTCTCCCCCAAGCCCAGGGTGATAAACAAGATTAAAAGAAAGTTACCTGTCTGCATGCGCTGTCTCTCCACCGCTGCAGCAGCTCGCACGCAGACTATGGCTATGCCTGCTGCTGCCCTCCGTTTGTGGGGGCTGAGCCCCTGCTGGGGGGTGGGGGGCGGTAGATCTTGGGTTGCTTTTAAATTCCCAAAGTGATCTCCTACTTAAAAAGGTTGGAGACCACTACCTTAGACCAACACGGCTGCAACCTATACCCCCAAAATATCTGATTGCATTCACTTGGCCAATAGCTTTCTCTAGTGCAAAGCACTTTCTTGTGCTATTTTCACTTATGCAAATAAAGATTTGAAAAATGCAGATTCCACTGTTAGTTTTCTTTTTATCCTTTAATTTCCTGAACACATACACATAAGGAGTCTTGGACCTTTCGAGAGATTTTGTTACCTGGTTTTTAACTCTGTTCTTCACGGATTTATTGCTGAATGGAAAACATGCACAGGTGACAGTGACAGTGCTAATAAGAAGAAGAGACTCCCCCCTCCTCCCCCCGCCACCCTTTTTGCAGCTTTAAAACACAAGGAATAGCAAAACCTGAATGCTTAGAGTCACGTGCGCATATGCTCTTTTGTTTAAAATCTGGGCCACTGCTGGTCAGTAATGGTCAGGGAATTTCCATTTGCTTTCATCTGCCTGAAGGCAAATGTTTACCTGCTTGTTGCCTTTTGAAATTGGCTTTCGGCAGGGTGTTTTCTGCAGATTTCCCTGTGTAATGCCTAATAGGCCTGTTATCTGAATAGTTCCTTACTCTGGTTGACACTGCTCCATTGCTCTTGCTGTGAAAAGGAGAGGAAACAGCAAGAATGGAGACCTTCTGCATTTAAAACAATATCCAAGGCAGAATGTCTTACAAAGACCTGGTCGAAGAGTGCCTTTAAGTATGCACAGAAATCCAGGATTACGAGGTATGTTTCTGCTTTGAAGGATGGAGAACGCATCAACTGTTTTATAAGGATTGGTATCCCATTAAAGCTACTATTCCACGGTCTGAACAACCATGGACTTCTTGCATTTCAGGCACCAGCAAGCTTCATTCAGGTATTCTCTGACTTTACGGTATCCAAACACCACCACATAGGAGCTGGCAGAGTAATAAATAGAGGAGAGAAGTCCATAGTAACTGTTGAGGATGCTGTGTTCAAAATTGCTCTCGATGAGTCCTGAAACAATGGCAATCCAGACCATGTCACTGGAGATCCAGCAGACAACATAGATGGACAGCAATGAAAGCAAGATTTTTGTGGCCTGAGCTGTGTGTTTATTCCAGCCGCTGTCCGCGGTCGAGATTGCCCTCACTTTTCTCCTGTGTTTGCAGAGAAGGTCAATGATGAAGCCATTCAAGATGATCACAAGGATGATGACGATGAGATCCAAACTGACTGAGCTGTATGTGGTGAACTTCGTGAGGAACTTCCCAGTGGAACTGGTGCAGGAGGTGGCCCCTAGATATATGATGGTCCGGTTGTTGTTTTTCTCCATCTCTTCGTCATATTGAAGGTAAGGGATGTGGAAGAGGATGCTGAATATCCAGCAGCCCACAAGGATGCTGTTCACGTACTGCCCCTGGTGCCTGTAGATGAATTTTGACCAGCGGTGGTTCGGTCTCTGAATTTTGATCAGATGAAGGAAACTCAAGTTCTCCACCGACCAGATGCTGATCAGCCTCAGCATATGGTAAGTGTAGAGAAGGACCCGACACGCCTGCTCTCCGAAAATCTTGGTGTTGGTAAAGAAGAGGAGTCCGGGGATTTCCTTGTAGCAACACAGCAAGAGGTTCACCAGGGCCATATTGATGATAATTTTGTCCAAGGGCTGAAGGACTTTGTGCCGGATTGCATTGCTGATGAAGGCAAAAAGGATGACCAAGTTGCCTACCGTGCCAATAAGTGCTGACAAGTAAATGATGATAGCTGCAATATAGGCAGGGTCAAACACCATAATGATACCAGCACCGAGGGAAAGAGGATTTCCTTTGTGCTGCTTAAATTTTCTCTCCTTTCTCTTACCCCTCTGGCCTGCGTGGCATTTGCATATCACCTCTGCTTTTTGCCTGTTCCTGCTGCAGCGCTCCTGCCAAATCTTTTTTTCTTGCCCACCACCTCAGCACAAGGCTATTCTCCTCCACCCCCTAGCATTTGACAAGCTGTTTCATAGTCCACTGCACAAAGCACTCAGAGGTGTGATTGCTTTGCTGTTTGTTCAACGACTGTTATCTTCTTCCCCTAAGAGAGGTCAGGTGGGCTTGAGATTAGGGGAATGACTAATGTGTACCTGGAACAGCTCTCTGATGGCAAGTGTGGTGGAACTGAAATCCCTTTTACGTTTTCTGGACCACTGTATCCAAGTGAAACCTGCAGTAAGTGCCCAGCCATCAAGACAAAAGCCAGAGGTCACCAAGTGGCGGTGGACACTGATCTCCCGAGGTCACCGAGGGGAGGTGGCCGCTGATAGGAGATCAATGGGAATTGCACTGCAAGTTGCACGAGGCTGTAGGTGTGAGAGGAGAGAGAAGAAATGGTGCGGCATCCACCATTAGGACTATATTATGTTACCCTTGCTTGGTTTTTTAGGCAAGGCTCAGATGGAGAGGGCAGAAGGGTTATTTTCTCCCATAGACTCAGAGATGAAGAGCTGCTGGAGCAGGTGAGGAAGCACATCCTCTCTAGGCATGCCTTCATTCCCAGCTCAGTCACTGACTGGCCCTGTAACTTCCAGAAAGACCCTTCCTTACACCTAAAAAAGGATTTAGGCATCTAAAGTCCACCCAAGTCTAAAATAGTGGCCCAGAAACACACTCCCCCCACACCACCTCAGCAGCCACCTGCCCGTGGAGGTGCTTTAACTCACAAGACGTCACCTAATTTGAATCAAAATCTCCACGGGCACTTAGGAACATTGCTCGATATATACTGCCTTTCCTAAAGCATCGGCACAGGCAAGCCTGACCAGTGCATCTGAACGATGCATGAAGTCCTTACATAAGCAAAACTTGGCACATGGGCCAAGGATGCTTGGCTCTGGAAGTGAAGACTCACAATGATGGGAGTCTTCAGCTTGTCGCTACATCCTCTTCCTAAAGGAGCTAATTAGTCTCATCCAAAGAAAAGCCAACCTCCTTGGGTAGGTCTACACCATAACTCGCAGCATATTGCATCGACCAAGCCAGTCCAGGTAACAGCTGTAGTCCAGCTGCGGCAGCACAGAGCCCAGCATGGGTTAAATACCTTGCTCAGATAGCTCAGTGCTGCAATATAGACATACCCCTTACTCCAGCCAATTCCCGTTATAATCAATCTCCCCACAGAAGAGCGACGAGTGGCAAAGATTCATTAACCAGCTCTGTACATCTGATGGTTTCCCTTCCCGTCTCCACGCGACTTTCCTCTGTTCTGTGAGGCTGGAAAACCTTTCCTACAGCACGGAGGGTTTTGTTTGTCTGTGACGCATCTGTTCGCTGCAGCCTGACAGTGAAAGCCGTGAGAACAGGCAGGTGTCCTGCGTAAATGGCCAACCTGGTATATATGGTATAGATCTTGTAAACACCGGCGGCACTTATATTTGGTTAGTCAAAGACGGGTCTTTCCCGGGGGCTGGAATCACTTGTGCATTGTTGGCTGAAGGAAGACAAGTTTAAGTAAAAAAACAAAAAACAAAACACTTCCAAACCAAAATCCCCCAAAGCAAGCACACACCTCAGCCCTTCCAGGCTGACTTGGTTCCTGTTATACAGGAAAGGCCAAGGGCCCACTTAGAATCACAGATTCACAGAAAATGAGGGTGGGAAGGGACCTCAGGAGGTCACATCTAGTCCAACCCCCTGCTCACAGCAGGACCAGTCCCAACTACATCATCTCAGCCAAGGCTTTATCTAGCCGGGTCTTGAAAACCTCCAAGGATGGAGACTCCACTACCTCTCTAGGTAGCTTGTTCCAGTGCTTCATGAAATCATAGGATCATAGAAAATGAGGGTGGGAAGGGACCTCAGGAGGTCACATCTAGTCCAACCCCCTGCTCACAGCAGGACCAGTCCCAACTACATCATCTCAGCCAAGGCTTTATCTAGCCGGGTCTTGAAAACCTCCAAGGATGGAGACTCCACCACCTCTCTGGGGAGTCTGTTCCAGTGCTTCGCCACCCGCCTGGTGAGAAAATACTTCCTAATATCCAACTGAAACTTCCCTTGCTGCAACTTGAGCCCATTGCTCCTTGTCCTGTCATCTGTCACCGCTGAGAATAGTCCATCTCCATCCTCTTTCAAACCTTCCTTCAGGGAGGTAAAGGCTGCTATTAAATGCACCCCCTCCGTCTTCTCTTCTGCAGACTAAATCAGCCCAGTTCCCTCACCCTCTCTTTATAAGTCATGTGCCCCAGCCCCTGAATCATTTTGTTGCCTTCCACTGGACTCCCTCCAATTTGTCTGCTGGATTTGCCTTGACTTGGACACACAAGATGTTTTCAAGCACATCTGGCTAATCAAGGCTGCATCCTGGCACCCAGCAGTGCCGACAACTTGCTGGCTGACATGCTGCTGAATGCGGCAGCCCCCTCAGGCTGGTTTTATTTGGTTTGTAGCCATTTCAGATAACCTCTTTGCTTCACAGGTTTACTGCCTTCTTAAGGGATTGTAACAGGGTGCATGGCTCAGGGACTGGAGCCCAGGTGCAGGGTAATAACCTGCCCACCTAGGCATCCTGGCCCAGCAGACAGGGATGATTGGCTAGTTCTGGGGGAAGTTAAAAGTTCCCCCAAGAGAAGATGCCGGGGAGGGAGGGAAGCTGGGAAGACAGCCAGCACTGAGTGGTGAAGCCCTTGGCTTGGATACAAGAGATGGGGGGGTCTCCGTTGATATTTTGCTATTCTGCTTAGTTTGAGGTAGGAAAGGGGGAAGGATGGCTCCTGGGCTTGGCCAAAGAAATAACAACGCACTACAGGGACCGTAATGGGTTTAAGACAAAAGTCATTCATCTCCGTGGTATTTAGCTTGGGCTGTACATGCTTTTTCAGAGACTGGAGAAATGGCATTTCACACCTATAGGCTTGTCTGATGTCTCTCCCAATTATATAGTGTGTCCAATCAAAGATGTGACCAAACAAGTTTTGTTTCCGGCATGTACCCATTTACAGCTGGGCTGAGGTAGTGCAGAACTCAAACTCACACCCATGATCTGCCACTAGGTGCTTTAAACATCCTGCCACTGCTCTTCTCACCGCTGTGACGTAGAGTACATCCAAGTCAAGATATCGGGGCAGGGTGGGTTGCAGTATGGGGAGAGCAGTGACTTTTTCATCCAAATGTTTCTATAGAGCAGTGGTTTTCAGCCTTTTAAGGTTTAAGACATCTCTCCATAACTTTTCTGCATTTAGCCCCCCATTTCAAAAATGAATCTCACTTGTTTTCTGACCATAGAAATATAATGGAGCAATTTCTCTCAGATAGAGCACAGCACGGCAGAATGGTTATTGATGCTCTGGGTTTGTATTTTAAGTCTCCAGGTTACTCCCGTGAGTCAAGTGTAGATATTTGCACGCCTAACTGGTAGTATTGCACAGCACCTTTCGAAGGATCTCATGCAACCCCACTGTCGTAGAGGATAAAGAAATCCAGGTTTCTTTATTTCTCATCTTGAGGGTGGTCAGAAGGTATAACTTGATCCAAAAGCAAAGCGTCACCTGAAAAAGCCCATTTGTCTCAGAAAAAGTGGTGCTCATCAAGACATTTGGAGGATATCCTTGCCCATTAAAGACAAAGGATGTGTTATCTTTGAGGTCAATATTCTTATACATGAGGGATAGAGAAGTCAAATATATCTTGACTGCATGCCAGAAGATTTCCCATAGCCTCTACTTACATAACCAGGAAATACTCCTCCTCGAACGCTCCCTAACCAGAAATGGCATCATAGCTTCCACTTCTCTTTCTCATTAGCTAACAGGGGGTATCTTTTGCGAGGCCATCGTGACACTTCTGTCACATGGAATCCCAAAGTGGGAAATTGCTCAAGAGCAGGAAATGCATTTCAGATATTAGCTCTTCCCAAAGGAAGAAGCACACACTTCAACATGAGAGATACCTTGACCATTGGTCTCAGATAAGCCGAGGCTGAAGTCCATGTGTCCCGGCTCTGAGGCATAATGACATCTCTTCAAGGCATTGTTAAGCTCTTAGACAGGAACCTCTTGTGATTTGCAAGTGGGTAGATTTCCTCGATCACCCTCTGGGCGAAAGGAAGCAGCAGGAAGGTGGGAGGGGGGCAAAGGGAACTGTAAATCACAAACGGCTCAGAAATAACTGGGTGGAAGACCCAGAAAATAGGAGGTCAAATGAGACAAACTCCCACAAGCTCCAAGAAATCCAAGCCGCCCCATTGGCTTTTACCCAAATACTGAGGGTAACTATGGTGAATAATTTAGCAAGAGTTATGGTAGATTCGCCACACTGAGCACTTTTAATTAGCGACTGCATACTTATCTAACAGGTCAGTTGTCATTCAAACAAATCACATCAGGAAAGCCCTAGGGTCCATATTAGCCAGGAGGTAGAGCAGAGGATCACAGTGGCCCCTTCTGTCTTTATAATCCATGACTCAAATTAGAAACGGTCCTTTTATTTGCCCTAGCAATGGCCCACAGCTCCATGGTGGATCTAGACTTTTGAAGAAGGGGGTGCAGATAGTGTGGTGTGTCCTCACACATAACTAGGGACCTACATAGAGACTGCAAAAAATGGTGATTTCCACGATCACTGCGAAAAATGGCGTTGGCCGTGATTTCCCGTGGAATCGACCCCCCAAAAAGATGCTTAGCAGAATACAAAGAAAGTGCAGCCATCACTGCAGCCACCAGGGTTCCTCTGCCAATTAGCAGTGAGGGGTGAGGCTGCCGCAAAATGCCTGTGAAAGTGGCAGCTGTGAAAAAACCCTTTGTCTTGTGAGATTTAA